AAATTCAAGTATTTACTTGCAAAATTTCCAGCAAGACCCCTTATWTACAATCAAGTATAAGCAGGATTGCTTAAAATAAGCTACGGCAATTACAAGCAAAAAAAAAATGTGCGAACTACATTTTATACCATACATACATACATACATATATTTCACATTTCACGTATATTTCTAAAGCCATACCAAAAGCATAACTGGCTCATCTACTACTGAAATCATATTCATATATACATATTTCAAAATACATAAATACATATAGTACATTGTACATACATTCTACAGTCAGAATATCACTCAATTTTATTTTCGCGGCCTCTTCTTACGGCGAACATATATACAGATATACATATATACGTATATATACATATACATATATATGGCCGCATGCACATATATACAATATATGCTAAAAAACATACCCGATCGACATCGGGTACAAGTTATAACAAAAAAGGATTTTGATAACATATTGAAATATTTGTACATATGTATGTATGTATGTAAGTGCATTGTCACATATGTAGATACGTTATTGCTTCAAAGTCCACATTGGCGTATGTTCCGCGATACCCCTTGGTTTTTGGCTAACAAAAACAAGCAAGATTGTGTAAAAACCCAAAGCGTAGTACATATCTACATACATGCATACGTACAAAGTGCAGTGAGATCTAAAACGAGCGCTCATTAGCACATAATAAATAAAAATCCACCTATAGGTATACCCTATAGGACATTTGGACATAAAATATATATAAGACAAATTGTATATAGAAAAATAAAACATATAAAATTTTTCCGGTCAATAATAAATAATTAAATCAAATTGAAGCGATTAAYTATTTATTTCAGTTCAAAACTCTTATTTACTTAAAATAGTTCTCGTTTAATCATATACATAACTACATATCGATGGCTTAATATAGAAAAGGCGTATCTACACTTTTCGTTACTTTTCAGGGGAAGGAAAAAACTGAATAAAGCCTTAAAAACTTAAGATGCAAAAAAGATTGAGATTGCAATTTTTATTCAAAACAGGTAACAAATTCAATTGTGGTATAATTTTGTTATTATTTTTAATTTCTTTAAAGTTATTTGAGATAGGGCTTTATGTTATTATTAGGGCTTTTTGTCGTAAGTTAAAATTAGGACAAACTTATATAATAATTCATGTTTGAAGTAAAATAAATAAATAATTAAAACTAAAATATATATTTCATGGCAGATGTTATTATACTGAAAACAAATTAGGTTTTATAAGGTAAATTATCATAAAAATTGTGGCAATCTGCTGGAAGAAATTTTTTTAGATCTTGCAAATGGTCCCACTTTTTTTAGATATGGCAATTTTCTCTTTATAAAAACAATCGGGGTACACATTTTCAATCGGAAACCTCAATCTCTGTGGGAGTAACTGATATTTATCTGTTACATTTGTTTTAAAATAAATTTATCCTGACGAGTCATACGTCAAGGCTCGAAGCATGCTTACTGTATGATCTCCAATGGCCCTGCGTGTAATTTAAGAAAAGCTTAAGTATATATATCTAAAGAGTTGTTTCAGTGTGCAATATTTACYTGGTCGTATTGATGTGTGTATCTTTGAAATATTTTCGAAATTTAAAAAATAACCATACCGCAAATGGTGCGCTTGTAGAGGTGCTGGATCTTTCCTAGATTCCTTAGTGAGTTGAACAAATTGAGATGGCAAGTTTATTTGTYTTTTATTTATTTTTCTCTCTGTAAGGGAATGCGATGCATCACATTCCATTTGCGTATGACCACTTATTAAAAACTTCTGTTCAATTGTTATTTCGCTTTCCTTTGAAAAATTCAACAAGGCGTTAGACAAAATAGTATTACGATTTTGGTGAAAGCAAAAATCCGAGTAAATAATAATGTGATAATACATGTAGCAAAAACTGAAGAGACTAAATTTCCATCTGTTTCGTCCCACACATAATTATCTGATTCATGCGTCACAATATTATAGACAGTAAAGTTACGTAGTTGAAGCTTCATTTTGTAATATGCAGCACTCACGTTTAGTTGAGGCACAAATTTAACTGCCTGCACATCCATACAGAATACTAAACATAGTCCGGATTCAGCATGTTTGATATCGTTTTGCTTTCTGCACGCATTTTTCCGATTTCTTCTCTGTGTTCTTCTTATAGCTCATTGGAAACATTATTAGCTTTATGTGATACGCATAAATTGCACTGATCTTTTCTTGGCTTAAAAATAGAATAATTTAATTCCTTTATTAATTGCGTAAATCACACTCGTTGACATAAAGCTTGTAAATATCCTGATATGAGGAAAAATCCGATYCGAAGTAAAACTTTTTGCTATCTTTTCGACAATAATGTGACTCCATTTTTGGGAACTCCTCTAGCCACTTTTTTTAGAAAGTCACGTCGGTTTTTGTTGCGCTGACCTATAACTGATGATCGCTTAGCATTTTTGCGCAAAATTAAAGCTTTATCGGGGCTGCATTGAGTACCGTGTTTACCGGCGCTGCTAATCCAATTTCGAACCATCTTTTCCTTTACTCCTAGTGTTGAATAAAACATTTCACGGCACACTTGTAATCGCTTTGAATTATGACTCAAGAAATATGATATGGACTGATTCCGTCTCGAATTTTCAGAGGTTTTCCTGTTGGTTTCAGAAAAGCTTGTAAGACCTTCAACATACTGCCTCTTTTGCTTACAGGGCATCTCCGAAAACAAACTAAAAATTTCTTTTCACGTGGACTCATTAAACGTCGAACACTTTCTCACCGCACTTTTACACAAAATCGTGATGAACATGGCTCTCCTAATTGCGTAGAAGGTTTTTGACGAAGTTCTTTTTGGATATACGCAAATATTCCACGCCTTCCATTCTTTTTCTTTTATTTACATTTTGTTTCCATTCGGATTTGTTAGTAGTATTTTTCCTTTTTGGAACACCATCTGAATCAGAATTTTCTTTTGCACAATTCATGTTATTAAAACTTTCAATCAAAAAACTGTTTCCAACACAAAAACGTTAATTGAACTGACACAAAAAACAAAAACGTACCGAAGAACGCAACGTAGCACAGAAAATATGCTTGTGCTAGACAAACTCGGGGAAATCCCGTTTTCTTTTATAGTAAATACAAAAGCAAAACAATAAGAATAAGAAATAAGAAATGTAGTGCAATTTCTGTTGTGGCTTTGATTGTATGTCTATTTTAAATTCAACTTTAAATGTCGTAGGGCTTTTTTCTTTCAAAAAAAAACTTCGAATGAGTTAGGGCTTTTTCTATATGACTATAMATCCATTATTTACGATCATAGCAAACTAGTTTTTTAAGGGGAGGAGTATTTGACAGTGGTCTACCAGAATACATTACAAACGCGATTTCGAAAAAAATGTAGATACGCCTTTTCTATATTAAGCCAACGATATATATACGAAAATATTTTGAAATCTCAGCTTATTAAAAGCCATTGGTTTTACTGCTTTTTTTGAAACTCTTACATAAAAAASAGTCTTCTATTGAACATTTTATATACGAAACTTTTTTAAACATTTACAAGTCTAGTTCACTCATTTTTTTAAATGAGCTCAGAATCAAAGGACAACAAACCAAGTCAGTCACTAAAAGTTCCAAAAATGATTGCAGATGAAAAAAGCCCATGTACACCTGCTGAAGCTACACGCTCAAAGCAAGGTGCTACAAAGCAAAAAAAGATTAAAGATATTTCCTAAACAAAATTCATTGCTGGGAGTGACCGTTCGATACGACACTGCACTCGATTTTCAAGATAATTCTGAATCGGTACTAGAAATTAAAAAAGAAAATCTTGACAACTTCTGGAYACGTCTCCAAGCAGCATATGACGCAATCGTACAATCTGACGACTCAGATCTACCAGAAAATTTTAAATCGTCGGCTTGCTCAAAATACGAAAATTGTTTATACCAATTCGAAGAGACAAAAGCTATGATTTCTGATCAACTAAAGCTATTAAGAGCTATTGCACCTACTCCACAACCGAGAGTAGAACTGCCACAAAGACAACCAAAAGAGGCAAGTTCAGGCATTCACCTTAAAGTGCCAGTATCCGACACATATATATTTCATGGTGGTTATGAACAGTGGCCGGCCTTCCGGGACATGTTTACATCCGTGTACATAAACCATCCTAAATTATCACAAGCGCAGAAATTGTATCACCTCAGACCCGACACCGTACAAAAATACGCCCCTCAAGGTATCAATTGGCAATTTATACCCCCAAGCGCTCCTCATATGGGCGGTTTATGGGAATCAATTGTAAAAAACTTCAAATCCCATTTCAAATGGGTAGCTGCAAATTATAAATTCAATTACGAAGAGTTCACGATGTTATTAAATCGAATTGAAGCCGTTCTCAATTCACGGCCACTCACAGTACTCTCGCAAGACCCCTCACGATATAATAAAACACTAAATTTAGCACTAAAACGAGAAATGCGCCAATAAAAAATCGCAAAAACATAATGAGCTGTCGAAAAATAACAAAGAAAATTAGCAAAAACGGTCGTTCAATATGACGACCCATTAATGCCACTCATCGTGGCACGATGGCCCATATCTCATTGTATGATAGATTAATAATCAATAATCTTCTCTATACAGATTACTATGGATGTAGATACGCCAGTTACAACCACGTCAACCGCTCGGGCAGCTACCAGTGCGCCACGCACTGGGCCTACACCAGCGCCCCGAACTATGGTTGCAACAGCACCGGCCGCTGCACCGGCAACAACGCGGGCACCTGTACCGACAACCGCGCCTGCAGCGGTACTAGCACCCGCACCTCGTGGTGTCACTCGACCACCACCACGCCAATCACGGACGTCGGAGACCCTAAGGTGCCCCATCTGTCGACGCCCCATCGCCTGCACCATTGTGGGATATTTAGGGGTATGCGTCCCGTTCAACGGCAACAAGTTGCCCAGGCAGACGGGTATTACCACAATTGCCTGTCACATACACATATGACTCCGGAGTGTGAGTCACGAGGGCTGTGATAAATATGCAACATTTAAAAATAATAAACTTTAACCTAATTCTTAATTTTGACTGTTGAAATTTTTGTTTCTGWAGCTGAGAAACTTAAGATCGCAATGCTTAAAACTCTCTTGCCTTTTAGGACTGGACTAATTCCGCTCGTTCGTCATTATTATGAATTTTGTAACTAATTACAACCTGCACAGAATAGGGGTGGAAGTTAGGGTGGGTCGATTCCGGACTTTTTTCGATTCGGGATTTCTAATAGTGCGGAAAAGTTGCCTTAGTACTTCCTGATTCCAATGCAACTTTTTGTTTTGAGATCG